GGCCTCCGGTTAATCGAAGATTATAATGAAATTAGCTCCCATCGTGTTACGTTACACCTGATCTTGAAATCTGGTTGGTTTGTGCCACAAAAAAATCACGTGTCCGTACTTTTTTGGTGGCGATACTGGGGTAGTTGCACAACGAATTCCCGGGACACTATCGAATGTGTCGAACACAGTGTATTACATATTAGCAAAGCAAAGAAAATAGTGAAGGTTTATACAAAAAAAAATTTTTTAAATTTTCGCAACGATAGATAGTCCGTATAGTAGCCTCCAAAAGTTTGTAACTTTTCTTTAAAATCCATATTAGCGGGATTACATCTAAATAAATTAGTAAGCAAAAGAGGGAGGTTTATTCACAATACAATAATAATGAGTTAAATTTTATTATGTTTTCTGTGTAATAGTAACAGATTTAGAGGGTACATATTCAACCGTTTTGACCCGCGTTGTAAATTTTTGACTCGGTTGAACCGTTTTGATACGGGTGACCCGGTTTACCATAACCCGTTTCTAAACTCTAATTTAAACTCCACAGACTGCGACATAACTATCATCTTGAGTATTGTATAATATGCCGTCAGATATCATCACATCAATCGCATCTCTGTTTATATGTCGATAAGAGAAATCAGCATAATAGTAAAGCAAGTCTAAAAAAAGTTCAGGCTACTTACTTAATTTTACTATCAGACCCGTATTGGAAACCAAGCGCAGAGCAAATACGTTCAATGGGAAGACCCATATGTGGATCACCTTGGTTAACAACAAGATCACGTATCTCTTTATGCAAAGGGTCAGAGAAAACATGAGAACTACCAACATAACTGTTATTGTTGTCAATGGAGCTTTGCTAAAAATCCGAATAAAAAATTAGCATTAAGTTTTTTTTGTAATAAATAAAAGAGAAGTAACTTACTTGAACAGTGCTGCTCTCGGAACGAATTAAAGACAAATGTTCATAAACTACTTCACACAGATGGGAGCTAATTTCATTATAATCTTCGATTAACCGGAGGCCATACGGTATACAATTTAAAAAAAGTTTCCCTTTGAAATTTTTTAGATTACCATATCCACAAACATAAGAATCGATGCTAAACATAGTAAATAAAAATAATTTAGAGAAAAAGTATTATTTTTAAAGGAAAACTTAATTAAATAATCACCTTATTTTATAAGCAGCAGAACTCTCCTTTTTTTCTTCAGATTCAAACCAAACCTTTGCATCGATAAAACCGGTACCATCATCTATTTTATATTCAATGACATTTTGACTCGAAACATTTAGATCTCTAATTGTGCCAATAATGCATACCTTTTGTAATGATAAAAAAAAATTGAAATTTTGATCAAAGATTGTTAAAAGCCAATATTGTATAGAATACATACAATATCAATTTTGTGACCATCTATTTGATACTCGGAATCGGAATGTTGAGTAGCTGCATTTAAAAGTTGCTTAATGGTTACGTGGCGAACGCTTCTTTTTCGATCGCCGGTGGGCTAAAAATAAAAATGCGGGGATATTTAAACATGGTTGTAGTGACGCGGGTAACGTGTCATAAATATTTAAACCTTTGGTTCTTGTGAGCCACTAGCGTAATCAGTCGAACCCATAAAACCACCGGTGTTGTCACCGTCAGTGTAAGATCCAGATCCATTGAATGATGGCGTGTAACCGTATGAATATCCTGAAAAGCATCCAAATAAGACGCGTCAAAAATATATTTCGTATAGCATAAAAGAAATATGTACACGAAAACGATTTTACCAGACATTTTTAAAGTAAACTACGCGATTTTTTTCTCAGAAATTTAGAAACAATATTGTGCACATTATATACATAATAGGATATATATCATATGATATGTTAATGTACCACAAAATGAACTAGATCTTAAATTTATTTCATTTATAAACTTTTGAGGTATACAATAAAAATACAAAAATTCAAAATTACATAAACAGGCTAGATTACTTATTTCTAGTTACATATAAATCTTCTAAATGTCCGTTCTCCATATTAAATATCCATCCATGAACAGATAATTTTCGTTTTTCATCCTTCCATGCTTCTTTAACAACTTCATTTTCAGAAATTTTATTTACTTGATTAATTACGTTAATACTTACTAATTTTTTATGAATGGCATCTATTTCACTTTTGTTCATTTTGGATTCGGTAATTTGATCGGGAAAAAGTTCAGGGTGAGAATCTTTGATTTTTCGTATGTCAGATAACCAAAATTTTAAATTTTTACGGAGAACGTATTCTTTATAAGCATTTTGAATACCTCCGCATTTAGTGTGTCCTATTAATTATAATATTGAATAACAGTTTTTTTTTTTTTTTTTTTTTTGCAGCAATACTCATGAAATAAATAACACAAACTTACCACAGACTATAATGTGTTCGACCTTTAGGTTATGAACTGCAAATTCTAATTCAGACATACAATTAACGTCATCTTCTTTAAATTGATTCGCAATATTTCTGTGCACAAATATTTCCCCAAAACCCAATTTTGCGATAATTTCTGCCGGTACACGAGAGTCTGAGCACCCTGATGGTAGTGCACACAAATTGATGTATAATTGTGTTAATTGTGTTAAATTAGGTGACAAAAAATTGTGATCACAAAGATCTTAGAGTATGCCAATTCATGAATATTGACCCTAATTATAGGGAAATTAGGAAAAGGCATCTTCTTCAATCTTCATGAGTAATCATAAATTAAGTCGAATATAGGCGATGATGATACTCACCGATCCAAAATAATTTTGGCTGTTGTTCTTTATTTGCTAAATTTTCAAAGAACTTTTGGTCTTGTAGTCGCACTGAATTTGCCCATTTCCTATTGTTATTAAACACGTCTAAAAGACCATTTTCTAGATCTTTAAATGATCTGGTAATGTCTGGAAGGTTAGCATTAGGCGGTTGACGGTGTGTTATGTTTGGAGAACGCCGGGGTATAGCACTTTCTGTCTTTTGACTTTGAGAATCCTTTTGTATTCTTGGTAATAAGATTTCTGCAGAATTTGGTGAGATCAATTTTTTGGGTACTGCGCTGGTTTGTCCCTCGGTACCGATATTTTTTAATGATTGGAAACTTTTAAACCAATCTGTAATATGTGCTTTAACGTTTCCTTTTAAAAGTATTCTAACTTTGTACCATGTATAGTGAGCGAAAATATTAATTTTTACGATCGAATTCAATGGGTAAAAGCTAAAGACAAATAGTTTACATACCCATTTGTTAGAAAGATAAAAAAAGTAAAAAAAAATAAAAAAATAAAAAAGGGTCTATTTATTTAATATTTACGTACACGATAAAACGCGGTCTTGGTATAACATTACATCAGATCTATTAGTTATAGATCTATTATTACCAATTCTGTAATTAATCATTATCTTATCAATTTTGTGTTCTTGTCAAACTTAATATGATGCAGAAAATCTTCAATGTAGATAAGTACGTACGCACGTACGTACGTACAGTACATGCAAGTTACGTATACGTTCATTCATTATAATAATAATGATAAACGAAGTTAATCTGAAATTTTGAAAAATTTTCATCTACATTGAGTTAATGCCATATTGTCGTCAACTACCGTGGCGATCCGGAATGCGGCAAATCCATCTAACACAAATGCTGTGGTAATTGATGGATCATCTAGCTACAGCGAAATAAACAGTGTTACAATATTAATCGATAGGAACCCAAATTTTATTTTGGTTGGTTATTCTCTTGAGCATAGTTACACAAAAAATACATATTCTATATTTTTGCAATAGAATTTTTGATCCGAATAATCAAGCCTGGAAAATTGGGTTTATTAATTTCCCCCACACTTCACTATCGAAAATTAGTAAACTCGAGAGAAATCAGATATAATGACGAAGTTAATCATTATGTTAATACGTAATTGATTATGCATCCGAGCAGAATCAAATTGGTATCATTAATTCGTCTTAATAAGACGAATCAAATGGTACGTATCAAAATCATTCATTTGAAAATCATTGTATTTATGGCGTAAAGTAAGTATCATGACAAATAAACAATATCTTGTAAATTAGTGGATAATTCTGATACTATGACTAATCTAATGACTAATCTGATGACACTAAAGTTTAGATTCGATTGCTAGTTCTGAGATAGATTTATTTAAATATATAATAGAAAAAATCTGTGTATTATACTGTATTAATCTTTTGTAATGGTATAGATAAAATTTTTTATATGATAAACTTAATCAATCTAAAACAAAAATTTTTATAAACTTGTATAGCTCTTAAGACTAACCTAATAGTTTTTTGGTTTTAAAATTAATTTTAAACCAGTATAAATCACTGGTAGATTTTTCAGTATTTTTTATGTTTTTTTTGGATAAGATACTTACTGTATAATGTTTTTGGTATCTTTACTTCAATTTCACTTATTATCTCAAATATTTCTTACTTTTCTGCTTTTATACTTTATACAAAAAGATAAAAAAAAATTAAATAAAAAACTATTTCATAGCAAGCAAAATCAAATAACAATTAACATAGTAATATTCAAAATACAAACAATAGTTTGATTTGCAAAAGCTACAATATAAAGAGAAGTTTTCTAACATATTAAAACAAGCAAATAGACATGTTTTGAGTATTTTAATATCAATTGCAGATGATATTTCAAACTTATAAAGTCTAATATTTCTTTAATATATACAGTCAGACCTCAATATAATTATCAGGTTGGGAAACAAATATTTGATGATTAAATAAAAGTGTGACTATATAAAGGTCAAATTTTATATATTTTATAATATCTAGAATAAAGGAATAATATGATTATAACAAGGTTGTGACTATATTAAGAGTGACTATAGTGAGGTTTAACTGTATATAAAAAAATATATACAGTATATATTTTTATTTAAACTTATAATTAGCTATAGAAAATCTAGGTGAGTTTTAATCACTCTAGTAAGTTTAGATTACAGATGAATCAGAATTTCTAGTTTAGATAGTTTTCAGTAGTCTGAGTTTTATTCTTGTAAAAATTTTTGTAAATTGGCTCTGGTCAGAGGAATCTATAGTGGATCCTCAATACAAATTATTAATAAAGATAAAGGCAAAACCTCACCTTAAAAAAAAAAAAAAATAAATAATAATAATAATTAGCTATAAAAATTTATATTTTTTTTATTTCCTTCGGCAATTCTGTTTACTTTATTATGGGAACAGACTTTTATCTTTATACTGTATAGTATAAGAAATCTAAATCTATAAGTATTTCTACCAAAAGTTAAATTCACTTATAGCGTACCTCGCAGATGCCGTAACATCTACTTGCAGTTAGGGCGAACTATTAAATCACTGTGTTTTGCCTAGATGCAACCTGCCTAGCAATACTTGGCCTCCTCTAGAGATCCAGAACTTACTTCAGACTTATTTTCTCCAGATTCCTTGGCTAGCTGTTACTTACCCTGTTAAAATTCCCACTCTACAATAGAATATCACCAAACTGATAACACTTTCTTATAGGAAAAGAAAAAAGAAAAAAAGAGATAATAGGGAGTGAAAAAAGGGTATATAATAAAAACTAATATATTAAAGAAAATGGATACTAATATTAAGAAATATAAAAAATTAAACTAAAATCTAAAAGAAACTATCACTAAAAAGAAGAAAACCTGCTAATCAGACAAAAACTTCTAAT